TTGTGAATAAAGAATGACCCAGTTGCCGTGATGACCGGGGGGGGGGGGGGAGATTTCAGAAGACTTTGACAAAGTCCCTTCTGAGATTGAGATGCTGTTAAGGAATTAAGTAGCATGGTGTGAAAGGTTAAGTTTTATCATGGATCAGAAACAGGCGAACAGAGAGAAAGTAGGAATAAATGATACATTTTCATCATGGCCAAAGGTTAGTAGTGGTGTGCCACAAGGTTCTGTACTAGGACAGGTGTCTACCATGTTTATATGTGTACAATTTTTTTAAGTGCCTAAAAGACTTAGGCGTACAACTGGCGAGAAAATGGGGGCATCCCCCACAGAAAATTTTGACTTCTTGGTGGAAAAAAAAAATAATCAAACCTAAATATTTTTGGCCAAACACTAACACTTTCCATTTGGAAATGCTACCAGTGACTCATGGGATTTGTAGTTTGGATGCCCCATGCCCACATTCTCCTCTATGGGCCAGGCACCCTGGTCAGTCTACATCTCCCCTCTTGTTGAGCCATTGTGGTGCATCATGGAAGATGGTAGTCTGGTTGCAAAACTTGGCCCATAGAGAAGAATGGGGGCATGAGGCACCCAAACAACAACTCCCATGAGACACTTTTGGCATTTCCAAATTCAAATTTTGGATTCTCGGTGACAAGTCAAAAGTTTCTGAAAGAGTAATTTTTGCAAAAAATTTAATGTAGTCAAAAACCGAGTTTTCAATGAACCCTACTTAGGAGCCTGGAAGTCGCATTGTCAGAAGCAACTTGGCAATTTTTATTCACTTAAGGCCTGTTGAAGTGCAATAAGCCTTAGTTTCCCCAAGTACCTAAATCACTTTTGAAAATGTGACTTGAGATCCTAGGTCCTTCAGTGATTTTAAAAATTTACCTAGTCTGGAAAAGGGGATGAGCAGTGAAGTAGCAAAATATGCATATAGCACAACATTATTTAAGTTAAACAACACTGGAGAAGACTGAGAGCTAGCACAGAGTTCTGGATTCTCCATCACGGGCAATTTTTAAATCAAGATTGGATTTTTTTCCTAAAGAGATCTGCTCTAGTCCAAACAGGAATTAGGCTGGGGAAGTTCTATGGCCTGTGTTATACATGAGGTCAGACTAGCTTATGACAATGGTCCCTTCTGGCCTTGGAATCTATGAATCAAAGCTAGATGAATGGACATCACAATCGCAGATGAAACTCCGTGTAGACCAGAGGTCCCCAAAGTGTGAGGTACGCCCCCTAGAGGTGTGTGGAGCATGGGCAATGGGCGAACCATAAGCTTGGGGACCTCTGGTCTACACTGAGTTTCATCTGACATTGGGGGCCTTGGGCCAGAGCATGAGCAGGGCTGTTTGGGGGAAGCACAGCCTTCCCCAGCCTATTATACCTGCCGCCCATAGCATGGAGGAAAGTCCAGGAGGGGTTGGGGGAGAGAAAGAGGGCATGACAGGGCACAGACCAGCCCCTAGGGGTGTGGGGAGGGAGCAGCATCCAGCCCTTCCCTACCCCCAGCTCTGCTCCAGTCCCACTCATGGCCCTGTCCCCAGCCTCAGCCCCTGGCCATGGCCCCACTCAGGCCCACCCCCAGCTGTGGCCCCAGCCTTGACCCCCTTGCCCCTGTCTGCATCTCCCTGCCCCAAGCCACAGCCCCACTCCTGGCCCTGGAGGCAGACAGGGTAAGGGAAGGGTGTGACCCTCAATAGTTTGGGGACCACTGGTGTAGGCAAATGCAAGGTAATTCACATTGAAAGCAATCTGAACTCCAACAATTTATTTGGTTTTAAATTAACCATAACCACTTATGGAAAAAGACCTAGACATTGTGTAATTGGAAAAAAAGTGTGTGTGTGTGGGGGGGGAGAATCTCTGCTCACCAGGTAGCAGTAGTTAAAAAGCCAACAAAATATTAGCATGCACAGGAATGGGATGGAGAATTAGTGACATGACCTTATCTGGTCACCCTTTCTCTAAAGAGAGATAGTAAAATAGAGGGGCTTCAGATATGAGTGATGAAAATGATGTGAGGCCTTGAAAGATTTCCTAATGAAAGACTGAGTTTGTTGTGTCTAGAGACAAGAGAAATAAGAAGGGATATTCTAGAGGAAAACAAAATTCTAACCGAGTGAGTCAGTCAGGATGAATTTATCATAACACAGAACAAAGATGATCAATAAAATTGAAAGACTGCAATTTCAAAATGGATAAAAGGGAAGAGTTTTTACACATTGCATAATGAGCCCCGGGAACTCACTGCCCCAGGATAATGTGGAAGCCAAGAGCTTAGCAGGATTCAAAAAGGTACTGGACATTAAGGGGAGGGATAGCTCAGTGGTTTGAGCATTGGCTTCCTAAACCCAGGGTTGTGAGTTCAATTCCTGAGGGGGGCCATTTAGGGATCTGGAGCAAAATCAGTACTTAGTCCTGCTAGTGAAGAGAGGGGGCCGGACTCAATGACCTTTCAAGATCCCTTCCAGTTCTAGGAAATAGGATAGCTCTATTAAATTGTGGGGGGAGGGATAGCTCAGTGGTTTGAGCCTTGGCCTGCTAAACCCAGGGTTGTGAGTTCAATCCTTGAGGGGGGCCATTTAGGGATCTGGGGCAAAAATCTGTCTGGGGATTGGTCCTGCTTTGAGCAGGGGGTTGGACTAGATGACCTCCTGTGGTCCCTTCCAACCCTGGTATTCTATGATTTACATACACTGGAACAATTTACTAAGCATCATGGTGGATTCTCCATCACTGGCCATTTTAAAATCAAGTTTGGATGTTTTTCTAAAAGATCTGCTTCAGGAATTATCTTTGGAAGTTCTAGGGCCTGCGTTATACAAGAGGTCAGACTAGACCACCACAATGGTCCCTTCTGGCCTTGGAATCTATTAATCTATATGGGAATTGAGAACATCCACAATTACATTAGATCAGATTATGAAAAAGAAAGTACAACCACAATAGTTTGGAAGGGATATAAACCCTCATCCTTTAAGGCACAAGAGGACCTTAAACTGACAGGAGTGAAGAGGAAACTATAAATTGTCCACTAGAGGGTATTTTGCCCCTTCCTCTAAGGCATCTGGCACTTGGCCACTGTCAGAGACAGGACACTGGGCTAGCAGGACCACTGGGCTGATCCAGCCTGGCAATTCCTATATTCCCAGTACATACTGCATATGACCAGGACAGAGCTGGCAGGCTACCCAATGTAGCCTCTTTGCCCTGCACACACAGCCCAACCTGAAGCAGGGTTGGCAGGCTTAGATGGGCTCAATCACAGCCCTTTCCCCCCTGGTTCTTCCCTCTCAGCTCTCCCATTCACTCTCCCTTTGTCATGCTACTCAGACACTTCTTTGACAGTTCTGCCCAAGGAGGAATGAACAATGGCCTCGGAGAGAGAAGACAGATGGACAGAGACAGGGCAATGGACTGACTCACCCTACGGTTCTGCAGGATCAAAGCCAGGATGGAGGCCACAAGCAGGAGAACGAGGACAAGGATAAGGCCAAAAGAGGTCTGCCCATCCAGAATGGGACGAGGACCAGAGAGCTGGGCACCTGTAAGGGGAAGTCACAGTTAGAAAGGAGAGTGAAAGGGAGGCGATTGGAATGGGAAAGGGATGGGATTGCACTGAGGGGGCTGACATTGGAAAGGGAATAGTAGAATTGGTCTGGCAGAGTGGGGGTGGGGAGTCAGGGGGGTTGAGACTAGTTTGGGGTATGGACGAGGTTTGGAAAATGTTGGCTGGTCAAGTGGAGCATAGAACTTGGGGCACAGGGAGATAGAAGTGGGGTGGAGTGGAGGGAATTGGGCACAGGGGAGACTGTACCTGTAATATACAGCTCATATTCCACAGCTCCCAGCCTCCCTTCTGAGCCATGGACACTGCACTCCCAGGTGCCGATATCCTCCTGGGACACATGGGTCAGTTCCAGGGTGGAACCCAAATAGTAGCGCTGGACTGCTGGGCTCCTGGGAGTGTCCTGAAATGAGCTCCCGTTGCTGAGGCCTGAACTCAGTTGCCTCCACTGAAAGTACTCGTGCCCCCTGGGGTGGGTGAGGCTGCAGATAAGCAGCAGACAAGAGCCTTCAGCGACTGGCCCTTTGATACTCGGGGTGACTGTAGGGGAGGGAAACAGAAATACCCTCAGCAAAGAAAGCAGAGCGTCTTCCTGCCCCACCCCTTCATCACCTCCTTCCTCCGTCACGTTCCTCCTTTTTCACTCTCACACCTTCTCTCATTGACTCCCTGGCTCCCCCCCCCCTCATTTTCCTACTTTAAGACAGATTTCTTAAAGAAAAATAATTGAACCACCATGAGAAACCTCCCTATAGCACAGCATCCTGTGGACAGAGAGACTCCACTCCTGTGCAGCTAAATGCCCAAGCTGAGACACAGGGTCTCTCCCCATGGGGAGGCTGGACAGGCCAAGAACAGCCCAAACTCACCACATTGGTGTGCAAGGAGATTTTCTCTAAGCCAGTGAAAGCCACTGGATGGGAAGAGTGCCCTTGGCATCCTCTTGGCTTCCATTGCTCACCTGTCATCACTGCCAAGGTCACATCCCTAGTGATGGTTGTGCCATGGACAGAGACAGCACAGCAGTATTGCCCTGCGTCCCATGGCCCCACCTCAGGGAGATGGAGGGTGAAGCTCCCATTGCTCCCATTCCTGGAGATGCCCCATATTTCCAGATCCCCTCCTGCAAGACGGCTCCAGTGGACTGACACCCCTAGAATGCTGGAAGCACTGGGGTCTCGGTTCAGGAGGCAGGGAAGGTTTGCAGCAGATCCTACTGCAGCATAGACTACAGGAGAGGCTGGCCCAGCAAAACCTGGAGAAAACAAAGAGTTTAGGGCAACATTAGGTGGTATGAGGTCCACCAAACTGCAACAGAAGAGGAGGTTACCACCCTTTGTGGGGAGGGGATGCTGGGACAGAGGGGAGCCATGACTGGGAAAGCAGGGAGGGAAGCAAAGAGATCCAAGGAGGCTACTCACAATAAGGCAGGAGTTGGAGAGGAGGAGGCTATTGTGAGAGGCCAGAGGTCTCTGGGAGCTGAGAGGGTGAGTCGGAGGCCAGAGTTACCTAGAATTTGAAGGTTGAATGTGGCAGAAACTCTCTCGTCATCTGAGTACGTGAGTTCGCAGCGCCAGGGCCCTGAATCGCTTACAGTTGTCCTGGAGATGGATAGAGCCCCATGGCGGGAACGGAACCTGCTGGAGATGGGGACCAGGCTGACATTATGGAACCAGCGCATCCCCACAAGCTTAGCTGGATGACTGGAGTTGCAGTTTAGCAAGAGAGGCTCCGTTTCCACCAGGAGGCCTGGGGGATTGACAGTCACTGCGGAGAAGAAGGGAAAAGAGAAATTAATGTCACAGGGGAGCCCTAAAACCATTCCCTCTTTGGAGCTCCCAGCCCCTCTCTGCGGGGCATTGAAGGGACAACCAACCTGTCCTTGGTCTCCCCGTTTTCCTTGTGTTTATCACCTAGAGATTTCCCTCTCTGGAGCTCTCAACCCATGGGATGAAGACAGGGGAGTTGCCTAATCTCAGGAGGCTGCGTCTCATTTTCTAACCTGCTGTTGCAGTCCTGGGCTCCCCTCCCAGGACTTTTGGTCCTAACTGACAGTACCCTGCTGTTCCAGGGATCCCTGTTGGGCTCCAGCTTCTCGTACCTGTCACCATGCCCAGCTCCAACTGGCAGCGCCGAGTCTCCTTTCCATATCTCACCAGCGCCTCGTAATGGCCTGCATCGTCACTCAGTAGTGGCTCAATCCAGAGGGAGAAGTCCCCTTGGCGGAAGCCGGTTTCCCTAACTGAGGCTCGGGGCATCATGGATCGGGCTCTTTTCAGGAGACCACTGTACTCCACCTCCAGCACCATGTGGGGCTCTTTGTGGGAGCTGGGGATATGAGCAGGGGGAAATGAGTTAGTACTAGGACAGGGAGAGAAAGAGAGGGGAGGAAAGGCAGTGAGAGGGGATGGGAATCAAAGACTGTGGAAGAGAAGAAATAGGAAAAGAATCAAAAAGCACAGCACCCCCACCCTCGCAGCCTGCATTACCTTTCCCCATGCCGCTCCCAGCGGACAGCTGTCTTCTCATACAGCTGCTTCCAGCTGCTCTGCAGCTCCTGAGGACTCAGGTGACAGGGGAGCACAACCAGGTCTCCCACTTTGGCCCACACCCTCTGCTCCCCCCTCTGCTCCTTTGGTGCTCCAGGGGAAGTACTGCTGGCTGCAACAAGACAGAGAACTGAGTGGGGGTGGGGGGAAAGGGTTAGAAATGGGGGTGGAGACGTTTTTTTCCTGTCCTGAGAGGACCCTGCCAAGGAGAATGGAGGAGGGCTGGGGAGCAATATGGGAATAAGGGAACACTGAAGGGTCAGGAAAGCAAGATCTGCCAAGCGTTCAGCTTTGAATTGCTAAAATCCTGTGGACCAAGTAAACCCCCAAATATCCCCAGTGCAACTACCCTCCACCCCCAAAAATACTCAGCCCCCCTTACCATTGGTCACCAGCAGCATGAGGGTGAGAGACAGGGGCATAAATGCCAATGTCATGGTGGCATCAAGGAGACAAAGGGGATGTGTCTCCACACTCACTTCACCGCCAGAATGGATCCAAAGCTTCAAGGGATGAGTGAGAATGAGGCATGGACTGGACAAAGAAGGGGACAAGTGAGTGGGTCGGTCAGACTCTCTCGTTCACTTGCTCTCTCACTCGCTCTCTCTCGTTCTGAGAAAAGCCTGTTCCCTAGATGCCCTTATAATGCGGGTGGGCAGCTAATTTCCTCACAGCACTGAGAAGATGCGTCACAGCCAAGAAACCAGCATCAGACTGAGGCACGTGCAGAAAGAGATGGAGACAGAGGAAGGAGGAGTCAGAGATCATGTTCTAAGCATCTTTTAGTGGAAATTCTCTCTCTGGGTTTTTGTTGTTTTCTTCACAGTTTCGCTTCTACCCAGACAGCGGAAAATTTGTAGAAGACACTTCCCAGCAAGTGCCCTTCATGTTTTTCTTTCATCTTACCTTTTTTGGTTTGATCTTTCCGCCAATTGTTTTAGTCTTTTCAAAATGCCTTGTTCCTCTTTCCATTTTTTCTTTTACTTTCTCAAATATATGCTTTCTTTTTCTGTTTTTCCAATTCACAGGGGACACTAAATGAGGAGCTGCAAACAGGAAGGACAGGCAAATAACCCAAAAGGACTAAGCCTAGAGATGGCATAGGTCTTGGAACTAGGAGTGCTTGAAGTGGTTATCATATGCAGGGTTTACAGTTTGGTTCAATGGCTCTCAGCACCCTCCTCCCCCCTCCCCCCCAAAAAAAAATTGTTCCAGCTTGGGGCCAGGAAATAAAGTGAGCTTCAGCCAGGACAAATGTGACTAGTAGATCCAAAACCCAGGACCACATTGGAAGGGAGATGGCCAGGAGGAGCTGAGGGAGGAGGCTGCAGAAAAGGTTACTGTGTTTTGGGGGCTGCATGGCAAGACACTGCATCCCTGAACAGGGAGGGAATGATCCCTTTCTATCCACTTTTGAGGAGACCCCACTTCAGGTCCTGTGATGTGGGGGCTTCTCCCAGCTCCCATGTAGGTGCTGGGAAGTTCAGGGAGAACGGAACTGAACTTTGCATAGTGCAATTCATAGATTCCCATCCCGTCACACATGGAGGGATTCTCTGAGGTGACAAGGGGGCCCCTTTCGTGGCTCATACTTTCCAGCACCCACTGGTTTTGGCTCTGACTTAATCATGCATTTGCCCTCCCTGGTGACTTCTGACTGTGCCCCCTTCTGTGCACACATCCCCCACTAACTGGAGTGGGCGGGGCCTCTCCCTGGGGTGGGGGAGCACAGGGTGACTCAGGGTCACAATTCTACCTCTGCTGGAGAATCTCTTTCTCGCTCTGTTTTTTGTCAGCAGAGTGATCAAGAGGGAGGAATAGGGAAACACAGAGAAGCAGGTAATAGAAAAGGAGAGGAGAGGTTGGAGAACACATTACAGTTAAAGCAGAGGGTGTTTTTCCTCCTGTTCAGCAAAAACAGTCCCTTGTGTCCGGTCTAAGCAGAGGGTATAGACTTTCCATTCCATTGAGTCAGCATCAAAGGAATGGCATGAGTGTGTGGGTGAAGGAGAAAGAGCAAGAGAATGAAAGAAAGAGGGGTCTGCAGCATGGCGAGGAGACACATGGGACTTCACTCTAGCAGAGCTGGCCTGAGGGAAAATGGCACCCTGGGCAAATTTGTATTCTGGCGCGCGCACACACCCCCACCCCCACCCCTTGGTCCCTGTGGGCACAATGCCCCCCCATTGCCCCTGGCCACTCTAGGCTTCTGAGGCTCCCTGCCCCCTCCTTCACCCCTAACCCCTACACTGTGCCCTGTCCTGTGTCCCTAACCATTGCACCCCCCATTCTGCATCTATGTGGGGAAACTGACCTGAATGCATGGAGTGCCTGGCATTGCTGCTAACTCACCCCCTCGAACACTGCTCCTCTGCACACCCCTTGGGGGCTGCAAGTGGGGGGGCAAAGTCAGGGCTCCCTGCATCCAGGTCACTTTCCCCACTCGGGCTGTGTAAGAGGAGGGCAGGAGAGCAGCAGCTCCTGATATTTGCCTCACAGCACAACCCAGGTTGGGAAAGTGACCTGGATGCAGGGAGCACTTGGTGTTGCTCCTTTCTCGCTCCCCTCCGCTCCCCCCCCCTCCCCCAACCACACACCGCTCCATTGCAGGGATGGTGACCTTGAGTAATATCTGTACATCATCACTGTCCCTCCTTCCTCTGCAGGGAGGGAGCAGGGAGAAGTCTGTGTGCCTCCCCACACGGGACATGGCACTCCCTTGCCAGCCGGGAGCAGTTTCTGACTCTAGACTGGCAGCACGCCTTGGTGCTGCCATGCAGCACCCCTTTAACCAGGGTATCTCTGGGTGGTTGCCCAGATGGCCCACCCCTAAGACTGGGCCTGACTCTCAGGCCCCATCTGTCCCACCCCTCTCCCTGGCCCCCCTCCAGAGAGGCACAGGATTCTGCTCTCCATCCAGCTGCTCCTCCCCCAATCACCACTCACTCCTTAATATTGGCCCAGGTATTAACTCCACACACAGCATTGGAAGGGTTGTCTTCAAATGAAAGAGCTCATCTCCTCGTGTGATGGGTTTGGTCAGAGAACCCCTTGGGTCTGTCACCTGATGTGCTAAGACTACCTCTGAGCCCATTTTCCCTGTCAGCTTGGGACTCCAGAACCCTGTCCTGTTGAGCTAAACCCATAAGCCTGCTGCAACACATCCCCATCTGAACCACATCCCCAAAGCTGCAGGCTTTAACTGAAAGCCACTCAGCAGGTACTCCTGTCTCCAGCACCCAGATGCCCAGCTCCCATTTTACTTTGTATAAAGCTTATACAGGGTAAACAAATTCTCTGCCCTCTATAACACAGAGAGAGTTATGCACAGCTGTTTGCTCCCCAGGTATTACTTACGCTGGGTTTAATAAAATCACTTTTTTGTTTATTAGTAAGTATAAAAAGTAGGATTTAAGTGGTTTCAAGTAATGACAGAAAAAAGTTACCAAGCAAAATAAAACAAAACATGCAAGTCTAAGCTGAATACATTTAAGAAACTGAATACAGGTAAATCTCACCCTCGGAGATGGTCCATTGAGCTTCTTCCACAGACTAGACTCCTTCCTAGTCTGAGCCCAATCCTTTCCCCTGGTATACTCCTTGTTCCAGCTCAGGTGGTAATTCAGGGATTTCTCATGACTGGCAGCCCACTTTGTTCTGTTCAACCCCCTTTTATAGCTTTGGCACAAGGCGGGAATCCTTTGTCTCTCTCTGGGTTCCCGCACTTCCTTCTAAATGGAAAAGCCACATTTAAGATGGATTCCAGTTCAGGTGATATGATCACATGTCACTGTAAGACCTCCTTCACAGCCTAGTAGCTGTAAGACTCAGACATAGGAAGACTTGCAGGTAAACAAACCCATTCACAAGTCATTGATTCTGAAGCACCCTTAATGGCTTCCACTTAACATGTTTACATTAGTAATACAAGTTTATATCTTATTCTCCTAACTCCAGACATAGAAATAATACATGCAAACAAATAGGCTGAACACTCAGTAGATCATAAGCTTTGTAATGAGCTTACAAGAGACCTTTTGCATAAAGCATATTCCAGTTACATTATATTTACACTCAAGCATATTTCCATAAACATATGGGGTGTAACATCACATCTAGCTCTTAAAAAGGGAGGCCAGAATTTAGCTGTATATCTGCCACTGCCTGGGAAAGTAACCTAAAGCTCAGGCTTGGAGAGCTGAGGGGCTGGGACTGAGGACAATGCCTCTCATGCACAAGGGGATGTTGATGGTTGAGGGGTTATTGTGGTGAGAGGGCGTATTCTGAAATGATAGCTTTTGAGGCATTGTTTTACTCAGCGTGAGGCTCTATCTTTAGAAATGACATCTCTGACGTTTCTCTGTAATGACCCATTTTAAATGCTGACTCCATTGAATGTCACCTTCGACATCTCCCAACACAAAACCCCACTGGCACAAAATAGCAGCGACTGCAGTGAGGTCACCCTGAGACAGGTTGGCGGAGCTGCACGTATGACTAGGCTAGGACAGCAATAGCAGAAGGAGCTGAAGGTGAGGACTGAGGGGCATTGGCAGAGCTGGGGAAGGCAGTGGGAACTAGAATTAGAATACAGGAGGGGCTGAAGTTTGGAAGCTTAGTATATTGATACATTGGCTTGAGTATTAGCTACCTTTGATCAAGTTCTAGGCTTTACTGACCAATTCAGTGAATTCCCTTTATTGTCTTTTGGATTTGTTTTTGTTTCTTTTTAATTATGTAGTATACATGCAAGTTCAGTTCCTGGCACTCCCCATCCCTGCTCTCACTAGTACCACAATGAAGTCTGGACCTTTGCAGAATGCCTCGTGAGGGTCACCCATTTCTTTCTACCTTGCAGTGGGGGACAATCAGCAACCTGCTTCTTTAGGCTTCAAAGGGAATTTCTGACCCAACTAAACAGGTCTAATTAGAATCAAACAATAGAACTTTTTTAAAACTGTATTAACCAAATTTAAAAAAAAGTTAAATATAAAGTAAGAGGATTTAAACTGGAAAATTAAATGCAGAAAACTTTGAAAAATTAAAAAAAAAAAAACAACACTAACTATGCAATCCTTTTTAGATTCTTAAGGCCAATAGATCATGTAGTCTGACCTACTGTATATCACCGGGCATAGAATTTAACCCAGCTTCTCCTGTATTGAGCTCAACAACCTTACAAAATCCCTTTGAGATACTGCAGGTAGATGATTCTTAACGGAAACTCTGGCAGAGTTTGGAGGAGTATGCTCAGGACCACACAGTGAGTCTGTTGCAGAACTGGAAATAGAAATGAGAAGTTCCTGACTTCCCAACTTCACTCTGCCAGATCATGACACCTTGAGGAATTAAAGCCCCTCAATTCAGCACTTATGCAGGTATGTAAATTTAAGCACATGCTTAAGTCCCTTTCAGGGCCAAAAAAGTTTTAAATAGA